ATAGCAATACACTTCCAGTTTATAGAAATTTGCTTTGCTTTCTTCAATGCATTTTCTGTTTCTTTATGAGGAAATACTACAGGAGTCAAGTCTACCCATATCTGGTGTCGCTCAGGGAAAGGAGAAACCAGCTCAAATCTGCCCAAGGATAATTACTGTGAGGCACAAGTCAGACATGCCGCTATGCTACAATATTCCCCAGTTTATTCTGCCACCACTGTCCCTACCACAGAACTCAACTTCTCTGCAGGGATTGGCAGTATATTGCAATGGCCACACAAAACTGGAATGATACTCGAGATTATGGAGTTTATTAGGGAGTGTAAGAGGTTATAAGTTAGGGTCAGAAAGGTTAAGGGTAACATTTCTTATATCTTCACGCCTCTTCTTAGTCTGGGCTGCCGATATGTCTCTGTCGGGTCCTCAGCCACAAACACTCTTGGTTTTCGCCCGACTCAGACAACAGCTATAAAGCTCATTTAATTCAAATAAATGCTCAAAGGACACCCCATTGTGCAAGCCAGCCTCTGGTCCAAAGGTGCTCAGCTTTGTTCCTTCCACTGAGCTCTTATTTTCACACGGTGTCTGCTGCCTCTGCTGATTCTTCATGCTTGCACCTAGAACATGCTCTGCTCCAGACTCTCCTTTAATGGCTGTGCTATCAGGTAATTTTTGAGCATCTAACCACAAAGTCAGATGTTCAAACCCAGTAACTGCTCCATGGGACAAAGATGAGACTGTGTGCTCCAGTAAAAATGGACAGTCTCAGAAATCCAAAGAGGAGCTCTCCTCTGACGAGCAGGTCACTATGAGGTGGAATTGACTCAATGGCAGAGAGTGTAGCCTTAGGGCTAGGATGACCTTACAAGACGGATGCCATGAACCCCGTATCCTGTATCTGTCATCTCCCTATTGCTCGAGTTTTGAGATGATGAGATGTCCTAAAACTAAAGGCATATACCTGTGAATATACTATACCTTTGAATTTTACACCATAAAGTTATGTATTTTATGTAAAATATATTTCAATAAGACTTTAAAATTATGTTCCAGATATGAACTTATTGGGTTTACAGTTATGGAAACTACAGCTCTAAAAAGTAGGACATTTCAAATATTCACTCAGAAAGAATTTTAGACAGGTTAGTCCAAGAGTTGACTGCCAGTAAAAATAGTAACAGTCAGAGTAACAGAGAAGCAATGCTTAGAAAAGAGTAAACTAACTTTGGGGGAGGAAAGGGCGATTTTGAGGCTAAAAATCCATACCTAAAGAACAGCCTTGCTATCTAACTCTAGTTCATTTTTGTGAACTTATAAAAATTATGCAACTAAAATTTTTAAATAT